ATCTTCCCGTCTCTCTGGTCGACTAGGTGAAGTTGCTAGCGAGAGAAATAGAAAAGATGGATAAAGCTATAGTTTATGCTCGGTCTTCACTATCTACTACAAACTCATATGTTTCATCTATTCAGGAGGGTCTCGTGAGAATGTCTCATTGGCCCAAAAATTGGATGAGGCGTACAACTCTGGTCTCACAGTTGTTTTTGAGTCTTTTGAGAATTCTTTGTTGCAAGTAGAATCCTTTCAATCTCTTTTGCCTATATTGAGGGAGCAAGTACAACCTTACTAGATAATTAGAGAACGGAAGTTCGTTTCGCTCAAAAATTAGTTTTTCCTTTCTCCACTTTTGTTGTTGTTGTTGTTGTTGTTGTTGTTGTTGTAAATACACCAACCTGGTTTGGGAAATGTAAGTATATGAATTTGAAATTAAGAATTTATTGTTACTTGTTAAAGATGTAAGCATTGGATCCTAAGTTAATTGTCAACCTTTTCTTTAACTTACAAATTTTTTTCTTCCCGGCCAAGGGTCAGTACCCGTTCCCCCACCCAGGTGAAAACATGGAACGAGGTTGACGTGTAGCAGACCCAATACGACTTTTGGAATGGCTAGTTACCAAGAGATGACAAGTTAATTATAGCCAATTTCGTGTGTATGTTTTGCATCATGAGGTTTTGATTGCTTTGTTCATATTGTTATGGAATTTATGACGAAACCTTTGAGTTTTTGTGATGGGGCCTCAATATCAACGATCCTACCCTAGACTCGTCATTACCTTTCATTGTCACAAATAAAAGATATATTTAAAAAGGATGTTTGTTCATTAAAATGAAAATATTTTAGTACATTATGGTGAGGTAATTAATTATACAAAGAAACAATAGTATAATGAGGCTGTAAACATAACTAGGTGGGTCTGCCATCGCTTATTCGCTCCGTTTTTGTTAGTTTGTTGACTCATCTAATCTTGATTATTCGACTGACATGACTTGTTTTACCTGTGGGAGGTTGAATGTTCCTTCTCCTTAGATGGTAGGTGAGGGAAGCTACGCTGATCTCCATGGCCTTGCACTCTCCTTATTGTTGCTCTTGTTGCAATGCCTAGTATATCCTATTGGCATCTACGAGGTCAGAATTGACTATAACTAGTTCACCGTGAAGATTGTGGAATTTCATCTTGAGGTGAACCAATGAAGCTACGTTGTCTAGGGCCTCCGTGAAGGGTCTGTCGAGTATCTAGTTGTAGGGGCTCTTTCAGAGGACTACAAGAATCTATGATTCAGCCATCTTGACATCTTTTACTTCTCCCATGGATATCATCAAATCAATGTATCCCCAAGGATGAGTTATTGTTACGATCAATTCCTACAAGTACGATCCTTCGTATGTCCATGATTTCATCTTCTTTAAGCTCATTTTCTCGAATAGCTCTAAATACATTATGTCTCAAAATCTTCTGCCATCAATCAACATTTGGGACGCGTCAAAGGGTCTGACTTGGTAGGGATGACCAAAGGGAAAATATCATTTAGGATTCCCCCAACTTTTTCTCTATCCCGCAAATCAAGCATTGGTCTATCCCTGCTCTTAGCCAAGGTGTTTCCACCTTTCTCATTGGCGATTATTATCTTTGCTATCTTTTTCTTCCTAGTCCCTTTTGATGGGATATTTTCTTCGGGGCACCTCCCGTAAATGCTACAATGTGTTGGCGCTTCCTTTTATGTTCTCCTCATCTTCACTGATTGCCTTCATGTCAGTGGTTGCGACATCAACTGTTTTGGATGGGGATTTGTTCTTCGGTGACTCTTCTCAATCCCTCTTACCACCCTTGGTATATTCAAACATGTGACCTTTCTTTATCATACCTTCAATTGAATCTTTTAGATGGATGCAATTGTTGGTGGTGTCGCAGCTCTTGTGGAATCGACAGTACTTCATATTGTTTGTCTGGGAGGATTTTCTAACTACAAAGGGGTTTTTTGTCTCGACCTTCCAGAATTTGGTGTTGGCGCTCTCTCGGTAAATCTTCTCCAGAGAGGTGTTGACGAGGGGTATACTTGTCATAACTTACGCGGGCCCTACGGTCGGATTCCTCTCTTCGCCAGTTAGATTCCTTCTCGAATGGATGACTATTTGCATATGTAGTCACCTATCTATTTCTGGGGCGCAATAATTTTTCTTCAAGATTAATAAAGGATTGTGCTCTGTTCAGTAGATCCTTCAGACTATAGGCTTCCATGCTCTCTAACTTTTCCATGAATGAGTTATCCTACCCCAAACCGTTGTAAAAAATCTAGCATTTAAGGCTATCGTCCAGCACCCCACTTCTACGTATGTGACGCGATAGATGAACGATCGCAAGATCTCCTTCTTCCCATGTGTTATCCCACAGATTCAGGCTATCGTCACATGATGACTTTTCCGAGATGTGAAATGAGAAATGAAGTTTTCACAGAGGTCTGTCTAGGAATCGACGCTCCTGTTAAAAAGGGATTTCAACCAGAGCCTTATTGATACAGTTAGTGTTAGTGCAAAAAGCTTGTACTTCTCCGCCTCATATGTATGGTAATAATTCAAGCGACCATCAATGTTTTGAACATGTTCGTCAGGACCTCATTCTTTGTTGTAATCATGGAGCTTCTGAGGTTTTTCTAATGATTTTTGTATATGAATGTCAAGAATGCAAGCAGAAAGAGGATTGTTTTATTGCCTTTTACCGGAGGCTTCTCCACTTGTTCCTCGAAGGGAGTATAGATACCTCGGTCTCCTTTAGGACTGCGGGAAGGAGTTTGATGCCTCTGGCTTCATTGATGGTTCAGAGATCCTGGGGCTGCAACTCGGTGAGACGCCGTCAAGTCAAGATTGAAGCTGTAACTCCTCCAAGATGTAGCTCATGTACTATATTTCCTCTTGGATTGGCATTAAGAAGGCTTTCTTTGAGACTAAGTAACTTGTCCTCTATTACATGCTTGTTTTGTTGTTGAACCATGATGTACATGTTATTTAACAGTGTTCATGCTTTGCACGTTGAGCTTGGCTTGCAGCTACTTGAATCCAAACATTGAATCGAGTTCTGGTAATATTGGTGGTACTGGATTTCTGAAAGACAATTCGCCTTGTTGAAGCTTTAGATAAGAAACCACAAAGATTGGATGCAAAAAGTATGTTGATGTAGCATAATGCTCAATATTGCTTGATCACCTCTATTTTGAGGAGAAGGAAGTTGATTTCTTGTGGCTTGAGCAACTGCGGCGACCTCACACAATACAGAGGAGCGAGTGATTCATGGAACTTGCCATTGTTGGAAGATCTGGAAATCGTAGATCTGAGAAACTGATAGTTAGAGTTGATCTACAATTAGAGTGGATCAAGAACAGAGATCAAGTGCTTGATTTCAGGGAATCAAAATTGCTAGGCAGAAGAAGCTTCGGTTCGATGAATCGAGAGATAAATATTCCAATGTCAAAAACGCGGGAATTAAATGTCAATTCCCATAGATGGCTCAATTGTTCTACTAGGCAACCAACATTGATTGGAGATCAAAGATTGTGCATTGCAACTGTGAATCTAAGCTTTCGGTACGGTGAGAATGTGGCTGATCTGTAAGGTTATCACTCCAATACTCATGTCAATATAAGAGTAAGATGACTGAATGAAGTTTGAATTTAAATTGTATCTAAAAAATGACCGCTTCCTCTATATATAGCAGAGAGGTTATAAGAACTTACTTAACTTCAGCCATATGATGCAGGAAAAAGTTAGATGGATCTTGCATTAAAATCTCATGGACTCTAATCTAAGATAACACTCCTGTTTTACGATTGACTTAGTGGATTGTTGCGTTTTTTAAACGGTTATAAGGTCTTCTATCCAGCCCAGAACAAAATACTTGCATGTGCCACCTCCATCCTGACGACGGACCACAAGAGACATCATTCCACATACGTGACTCATTATACTAATTCATAGTAGTTGGAATCATATGTTGTTTGACGTTATTGTCTCGGTCGTAATAATCATGGTCTTGCAGACTTGCACTAATGATTTTGATGTGATGACTTGTATGCGATATTTGATGATAATGTACAATTTTTTATGTATAACCAAAATAGATTACATTCTTGGAAATCATAACTCACTTCATGTGTTCGTTTGTGGTTAATTGCACAATTTTTTGTGCAAGTAGATGATGGAACGGAATACTTCAAGAGAAGATCAAAGCTAAATATATGAAGTGATCAACATGCCACCATCGTAGTAGATAGTAGTTATTTTAAAATGTTATTAAGTCAATCGACTAAGTTCCAATTGGAAGTTGAATTTATAAGAATCAACTTTATACAATAAGATAAGACAAAATTTGAAATTGCACTCGTTGATTTAAATATAAATATTATACAATAGATTTTGTTATTCTGCAAATATATCATGTAACATTTTCTATGTTTTTAAGTGTTTTTAAATGAAGTCAATAATTTTCTTAATATTACATTTTAAGACAATTTCTAGATATAATTTAGGCCTATTGAGATTGATAGTCACAATTTGGAGTAGTATTAATTGTATTCGTTGTTGATTATTTTAGTTTTTTTTTATAATTTAATAATTGATAAAAAAAATTAAAATAACAATATTAATATATACACAAATATTGTCATATAAAAGTTCTATAAAGAATATAAACACATATGGTTAATTTTCTATGGAATGTGTACGGACTCTAATTACTTATGAATTAAGTCAAAATATGAGATTTTGTCAAAAGAAAAAGCGAGATAACATTTCAAAATATGTCATATTAATTAATTATTGGTCAAAGGTATTAATAATTTATACAAATGTTTATATATAAATAAAACATAACGAGAAATCGTTTCTCTCAAACAATTTTTCTAAAAACTTCGTATTGTCAGAATTTCAATAAAACTTCATACTGAGAGTAGTCACTATCGATCACTATTGTGAATTTTGAAGGGAAATTCATATTCAATGCTTAACATTTGAGAGAATGGAGAGATTGACGAATCATGATACTATTGAAAAGGTTAGCGATCATATTTCTGATGAACTTGCATTCTCTATTATGTCAAAATTGCCTCTTAAATCTTTGAAACGATTTAGTTGTATACGCAAATCATGGTATCTATTGCTTGAAAATTCTTATTTCATGAATATATACCGTAACAATTTCATATATAATGATTGTTCTTCTTATGAGGAGGAACCATGTCTCCTTATACAACAAACTGTGCCATATTTTCAAAATCATCGTGTGCTATACATGCTTTCTGGAGAGAGATTTGAGAATAAGGTCAAATTAGACTGGCCACCTCCATTTCAAGATAATGATCGAGGTGTTTATATTTTAGGTCTCGCTATTAACGGAATTGTTTGTCTCTACCAAGGGCATACACCAGTTATTGTATTATGTAACCCATCTACCATGGAATTTAAGGTCCTTCCTCCTAGCCCTAGTGAGTCTCGAGTAATTAATGATGTAAAATTTTATTTTCTTCATGGATTTGGTTATGATCATTTTAGAGATGACTACAAGGTGATTCGATATGTATCTTACCGGCTAAATGTATCTGATGTTGAAAATAATATTGAAGATATACCAAACAAGTTGCCACACGACAACATTTGGGAGATATACAGTCTAAGAAGTAACTCTTGGAGAAAACTTGATATTGATTTGATTAAAGGTTATGGGTCTTATGTGGGTGCCTTTGTGTGTGCAAAAGGAGTATGTCATTGGTGGAATCATGATTTAAACGAGCCATTATTGGTGTCATTTGACTTAAGAGATGAGGTGTGTTGTACAACACCTTTTCCCTTGGACATACCCATTCCCTCAGATATCAATGATGATATTGACGATATATTTTTGATGAGACACTTGATGGTATTAAATGAGTCCATTGGTTTGATCTCAAATTATGCAAACACGACTACTTTTCACGTATCAATTTTAGGTGAACTTGGTGTGAAGGAATCATGGACTAAACTCTTCATTATTGGACCCTTACCTGGCATTGAGAATCCTATTGGAGAAGGAATTAATGGTGATTTATTCTTCAGAAGAAACGATGATGAACTAGTAAGGTTTAATTTGAATACCCAAATGGTAGAGGAACTTGGTATTAAAGGGGAGTTTTACTACAGCCAAGCAATCATTTACAAGAAAAACCTTCTTGGTATTGGAAGAATAATAAATTGATTATTTTTTTAATCTCAAAATTTCACCCAACATGTTTATGCCGCTTTAACTAGAATATTACCATGTATGCATATTTGCTTGTCAATTGTGCATATCATGATTAAGATCAAGTTAAAAAAAAACATGTCAATAATATGAATTTTATTTTGATGTTAATCTCTTTCTATTTGCAATTTTTTCCTTTTTTATTTTATTTTGTTTGAAAAAATGATATTTTCCTTTACTCAATGGCCTTGATCAATTTTATGTAGAAGTGTTGAAGTATTCAATGGTCTAGATTGGTTTAATCTTGTGGATGATATTCATTATTCTTTAGTGCTAGTATTCTTTGTATATATAGTAGCTTCATGAAATTTGTACAAATCATCCAAAATGAGATAATATTAGCCAATACATTTTGTGATAAATTCATCTATTATCCTCTCTTTTTTCTGTTATCATTCTGTTACAAACTTCTTCTTCTTCTGTTATTTTTCTGTTACACTCCTTCTTCTTCATCCATGGATTTTGTTCACAATCTTTCAATATGGTATCAGTGAGCCTGCAACTCCATGGCTCTATCTCGTAATAACGCTAATACGTCATCTGATCTGATTCTTGACCAAACCAGTCCCTACTATGTACATCCAAGTGATGGTCCCTCCTCCATTTCGATTACTCCACTTCTCAATGGATCGAACTACCACAGCTGGGCGCGATCAATGCACAGAGCTCTTGGAGGAAAGATGAAATTCGATTTTATTGACGATACAATTCCAGTTCCAACAGATTCGTTCGATCCATCCTATCGAGCTTGGACACGATGCAACATGTTAGTGCATTCGTGGATTATGCAATCTGTATCGGATTCCATAGGGAAATCCATCGTGTTTATGGAGAATGCGATCGACGTTTGGAACGATTTGAAAGAACGTTTTGCGCAGGGAGATTTGGCTCGAATTTCGGAATTGCAGCAAGAAATCTATTCTCTCAAACAAGAAAATCGCACGGTAACCGATTTCTTTTCTCAGCTTAAGATTCTATGGGAAGAATTGGAATTGTATATGCCCATACCTCATTGTACTTGTCGTATCCGTTGTTCTTGCGAAGCTATGCGTAGTGCTCGTGCTAATCATAGTTTGCTATATGTTATACGTTTCTTAACTGGTCTGAATGATTATTTTAATGTCGTAAAATCTCAAATTTTGCTTCTTGATCCGTTGCCTCCGCTGAACAAAATCTTTTCAATGGTTATTCAACATGAGCGACAAATTTCCCCGATTCCAGCCCTTTCGATTCCCACTGATGATGATGATTCCAAAGTCTTAATCAACTCTGCTGATAGCAAAAGACCTCCTTTCAAGAAATCTGGGCAGCGAATTTTCACCTTTTGTGGGAAATCTGGCCATACAGTAGACACATGTTATCGAAAGCATGGTGTCCCACCGCATCTGCAGTGCAATTCTGGTGCTAATGCTCACAATGCTAGTGTAGAGCAATCCCTTGATAAGTCAAACACTGAGATTCCTGGTAACACTGCCATGACTTCACCACAACTCACAGCTGAGCAATATCAAACACTCATGAATATATTACAAGGATCAAATGGTGCCAAACCTGCTAGTACATCCAATCAAGTGACAATCTCTCATTCAGTGGCCAACGCAGGTAATATAACCACTCCCACTTGTTTGAGTAATTCTACTGATAGCCCATGGATCATAGATTCTGGGGCTAGTGACCACATTTGTGGATTTTCTCATTGGTTTCACTCTATTCATGATGTCAACCCTTTACATATCAAGTTACCTAATGACAATTTTGCTATAGCTAGACAAATGGGTACTATACATTTTAATTTTACCTTTTCCATTCACAATGTTCTGTATGTACCTCATTTCTCCATGAATTTAATTTCTGTTTCAAAACTTTGCCTTGAATTACCATGTGTTGTTAATTTCACTCATTCTCAATGTCTCATTCAGGATCCTCAATCATTGAAGATGATTGGTTCTGCTGAGTTCATTGAAGGCTTGTATCATCTTAATCTGCAAAATAAGAAGCCTTCTCATGCTCTTGGTACCTCTGCCTTTAATGTTGTCACTATACCTGACCAAGCCTTGTGGCACTTTAGATTAGGCCACCTTTCTAATTCTAGAATGGCTATGCTTCATTCTGATTTTCCCTTTCTTGTTATAGATTCTAAAGGCACTTGTGATGTATGCCACTTAGCCAAACATAGGAATATGACATATCAAAGAAGTTTTAATAAAGCTGCTCAACCTTTTGATTTGATACATCTTGATATATGGGGTCCTCTTTCATCAAAGTCTATTCATGGTTATTCATATTTCCTTACTGTTGTTGATGATCCTAGTAGATATACTTGGCTTACTCTTATGAAATCTAAATCTGAGGTTAGGCAACACATAATGAATTTTGTCAGTTTAATACACACACAACATAATACTACAGTTAGAGTCATTAGAACTGATAATGGTCAAGAGTTTTTAATTCCACAATTCTATGCTTCCAAAGGAATAATACACCAAACCAGCTGTGTTGAATCTCCACGGTAGAATGGTAGAGTGGAGAGAAAACATTAGCAAATTTTGAACATAGGAAAAGCCCTCCTTTTTCACTCTAACTTACCAAAACAATTTTGGTGTTATGCTGTTTCCCATGCTGTCTTCATTATGAAGCTATCCCTATTCTGAATAACAAATCACCTTATTTCATTATGCATAAACAATTACCAGATCTGCATATTTTAAAAAATTTTGGTTCTCTTGTCTATGCCTCAACACTTCAGTCACATAGAACAAAACTTGATCCCAGAGGTAGGACTTGTGTCTTCCTTGGTTTTAAACCTAGCACAAAAGGATGTGTCCTTTATGACTTGAATAACAAAGAAATATTTGTTTCTAGGAATAATAAACATCATGATAATATTCTGCCATATAATCCTGCATCCAAACCATCCACCTGGACTTACCACTGTCCTACATCAGATTATCCAGCTGGTAGCACACTTATCCCTGCACCATCTGTCTCACCTGACCCACCTACACCAGTCACATCTATTCCTACTGTACATGACTCATCTACCTCTCAATCCATTGAACAAAACACATATTCTAAACCTACCAGACAAAGAAATACACCCCCTTATTTGGCAGATTATGTGTGCACTGCTTCTCATGAATCAAATGAATCCTCACCTTCAGGTACTATATATCCCATTTCTAACTTTCACTCCTTTTCTCATTTATCTCATGCTCAGCATACTTTTCTGCTTCTATTACCCACATTGTTGAACCTAAAACTTTCAAAGAAGCCAACCTGTCTGAAAATTGGTTAAATGCCATAAACTCAGAACTGGAAGCTCTTGATAAATTAGGCACTTGGATTATTGTTGATCTTCAAGATTAAACATAGAGCAGATGGCTCCATTGAAAGATACAAGGCTAGGTTAGTAGCCAAAGGTTATAACCAAATAAAGGGACTTGATTTTTTTGACAGCTTCAGCCCAGTTGCTAAACTAACTACTGTTAGAATGCTACTTGCTTTGGCATCCATCTATAATTGACATTTGCACCAATTAGATGTCAACAATGCCTTCCTCCATGGAGATTTACAGGAGGATGTATATATGGCCATCTCAGATGGAGTTTCTTGTAGTAAACCTAATCAGGTTTGCAAGCTTCTCAAAAGTATCTATGCTCTTAGACAATCTAGCAGAAAATGGTATGAAAAGCTGACTTCCTTATTGTTGCAAGAAGGATACATTCAATCTACTGCAGATTACTCTTTATTCACATTGAGAACAGATACTAGTTTTACTGCACTTCTAATCTATGTTGATGATGTGATATTAGCCGGTACTTCCCTAGATGAATTTCAGAGGATCAAAAGTATTCTTGACAGCCAATTCAAGATTAAAGACTTAGGAGTGCTGAAGTATTTTTTAGGTTTAGAAGTGGCACATTCCAAAGCTGGAATTACCATCTCTCAAAGAAAATATTGTTTAGACTTACTAAATGATTCTGGTTTACTGGCTTCTAAACCTGCAGCTACCCCTCTTGATCCCTCTATAAAATTGCATCAAGATAGTGGAAAGACTTTTGAAGACATAGCAGCATACAGAAGACTTGTTGGTAGATTGTTATACCTCAACACCACAAGGCCAGACATTACATTTTCCACTCAGCAATTAAGTCAGTTCCTCCATGCTCCTACTATGACTCACTATAATGCAGCATGTCGTGTAATAAGGTACTTAAAGCATAATACTGGTCGAGGTCTTCTATTTCCTAGAACTTCCGAAGTTCAACTTCTAGGATACTCAGATTCGGATTGGGCAGGGTGCGTAGACTCACGTAAATCTATCTCTGGCTATTGTTTCTTTCTTGGTTCCTCATTGATTTCATGGCGTGCCAAAAAGCAACAAACGATTTCTAGATCTTCATCGGAAGCTGAGTATAGGGCCCTCTCAACGACAACTTGTGAGCTCCAATGGCTCTTATATTTGTTCAGAGATTTACAAGTCACACCTTCTCGAGAACCTGTACTCTACTGTGACAGCCAGAGTGCGATTCACATAGCGTCCAATTCGGTATTCCACGAAAGGACCAAACACCTTGACATAGATTGCCACCTTGTAAGAGAAAAAGTTCAACAAGGAATTATGAGATTGTTGCCCATTTCTTCTCAAGAACAGTTGACAGATTTTTTAACAAAGGCTCTAGCTGCTCCTAAACTCAATAGCTTCATATCCAAGCTTGGCATGATTGACATATACAATGCTCAGCTTGAGGGAGGTTGTTGAAGTATTCAATGGTCTAGATTGGTTTAATCTTGCGGATGATATTCATTGTTCTTTAGTGCTAGTATTCTTTGTATATATAGTAGCTTCATGACACTTGTACAAATCATCCAAAATGAGATAATATTAGCCAATACATTTTGTGATCAATTCATCTATTATCCTCTCTTTTTTCTGTTATCATTCTGTTACAAAC